TGTGTGTGTGTGTGTGTGTATATATATATATATATATATAATGTGTGATATTATATGAAAATGGATAATTACCATTTATATTATTTCAAAGTTTTAACTTGGAAAAATATCATAATTATTTAATAAAAAAATTGGTAGGTGTTGGTGAAGAAAGATAGGTGATAACATAGAGGTTAAAGTTTAACTATTTATGAAAATATAAGTTCAAATCATGTAAATAGAACTTTCAAAAACTTTTAGAAGAAAATTGTTTTGTTAAATATCCTTATTTTAGTTGTTGGATTAATCAATGAATTCTAGATGTTGCTTTCTGTCCTAGAATTTTAGTTTAGAAGTTCTCATAACAGTTAATTTAACAAGAACAGCATGTTTTTTTAAAGTTTCCTAATTATGTAGTGTCTTTAGCTAATGCTCTGTTTATAATCACTACCTGTTTTATATGTGTCGTGTTTATTTCTTTTTTGAAAATCTTTTGAAACAATCTAGTAGATCTAAATTGTTATTAATTTTTGTGAAAACTTGTAAATAGGTGTAAAGTTGCAAAATGAAAGTATTATTTTGATTTACATGTTGTTTTATACTCATGATTACAATATTAGGCACAAGAACTCCATTTTTTAACATAATAAATTTAATAATCAGTGTTTCAGTAGGATTTCTTGTTGTCTTAACTATTTGACAACATGGATTATGCATTTATGTTGTTAGTTTTTGAGATTGTTACTGCCATTCCATTTTTGCTTACAATCTCCCTTTTTCACAACATTAATTTCCATGCATGTCACAAATTTTCGTTTTGATTAGCAACACAATTTGGCACTGACCATTTCATAACTTTTATACCATCAGTTCTTCTCTGTTCCTCCTAGTATTTTTTATTCAACAAAATAGTATGTTTTGGATCATTTTCATGTTGAAATGCAATGCCAATGAATTATCATTCACTGGGTATTGTGTGATGAACCAGAATATGGTTATATGTCTTTTTCTTCGTAATACTAATCAATTTTGACAACATCTCTCTCTCCTACAGCAGAAATGCATCCACACATGATTATAGACACACCATAATGTTTCATTAGCTGTTTCACTTACACACTTTTCTTCAAAATTCTCGTGGTCATATAACAGTATAAAAAAAAAAAAAAACATTTCTAGATGTTTCACAAATCTCAATTTTTGTTTCATTAGCTTAGCTCATAACACATTGTTCCATATACAGTACTGTGCAAAAGTGTTAGAACAATGTCAAAAATTAGATTTCAGGCTACTTTGGAAGAACAATGGAAGGTACATCACAGGTGAAACATCAAAATTTTATTAATATTCTTATTTAGTACAACAGAAACTCAGTAGAAGTTCAGCAAACAATTAATATTTTGTGTGTCCCCCTTTTGCTTTAATAACTGACAACAGTTTTTCAGACATTGTCGCAACATATTTAATCAAGATGTCCTTTGGGATTTTACTTCAAATGTCTCTAATACACTCCCATAAAGTTTCTTTGGAAGTAACTTTTGATTTGTCAAGTCTTTGATCTATCAAATTCCAAATCTGCTCAATTGAGTTGAGATTGGGGCTCTGTGTAGGCCATTGAATGACTCCAGCAGCTTCTTAGCTAAGTAATTTCTGCATAGATTGGATGAGTATTTGGGGTCATTATCTTCTTTGTAGTAGAACCCTTTACCAATAATACACAAACCACTGGCTATACCATGATGGATCAGTATCTGATAGTACTTGCACTGGTCCATTATTTTGTTTATTTTGCAAATATCTCCTGTTGCCTCAGTAAAAAAACACCCCCAAACCATCATACTGCCTCTCCAATGTTTCATGGTAGGTGATATGCATTGAAGTAAGTAACTTTCACCTTTCTTCTGCCAGATGTACAACCTACGCTTTGAACCAAATATATGAAATTTGGACTCATCTGTTCATAACACCCTTTTTCAATCATCAACAGTCCAGTTTTTGTTCTTTTAAGCTTTAGCTAATTTCAGTCTCTTGACAACATTTGGAGATCGAAGTAAAGGTTTTTTAACTGCTACTTGACCAGATATTCCATTCTCATTGAGTATTCTTGATACTGTATATCTGGACACTTTACTGTTATTTGGTACATGGTTGTTTATCTCATGGTTGAGATCAGTGGCAGTCTTCCTTCTGTCCCAGAGGTTGCAAAAATGAAGATACTTAACATCAGTATCATCGAGTTAACGTGTTCTACCTCTCCCTTTCCTATTTTCTAACTTACCTGTCTCGGTCTCACGATCTAGGGTGTACTTGACAATGTTTGTGGAGTATTTCAAGTCTGTAACAATTTGTCGGAGAGTCCAATCAGCAGCACATAAAACTTTTTTTCAAACTCTCTGCTCTACTCTATGCTTTTTTGGCTGTGGCATGAAAACAAAACTTAATATATAGTGTTAAATACTGTTTTATCAAGGTTTATATGTGGAGTGCTATTAAACTGATTTCTTCTAGCATATACCGGTACCATATGCTAGCTCCTTGCTTGCTTCTTTCTATGTAGTTAAGGCACTGCATGGGATACCATGACAGTTATTTCAGACCCTAAATTTGATCAGTATATTCATTCAATTAGAACCCGTATGACATGCCCTTGGTACAAGTATATGGGAATTATAAAGAATGATAAGTATTCTCATCCTGGTTCATACAATTGTCAACAGGAATCAGTGAAGTATTATCATAGTGTTGAAATTTTCATTCTGTAATAGCATGGAAGAATTAGCCCCATAAAATGGAAAGAATAACAAAATATTCACTCGTCCTAACACTTTTGCACAGTACTGTATATGTTCTTCCCCTGTTTTATGATTGTTTACAAAATTTTATATACTTTACCATTTCAAACATGTGGATTGTTAGGCTTTTCATCTAAGTAAACCACTTTCTTGCAATCATTATAAGGTAGTTTTATTTCTGTTTCTTACTCCATATGTATTTTGTATGTTTGCACACATTTCAAGGTATGCTTTTAACCAATATAATTTTGAAATTACTAAACTACTATTTTAATGATTTTCTTTATCAGGGGTAGGTACTGCCATGTTAAACCTATAAAATCATGACCATACCTGATTTTAATGTGATTTTTAGTATCTCTGAGAAAATATTGTGTAAAGTTTCAGGCTTCTTGGTCAAACAGTTTAGAATTTATGAGTCACAGTAAATTTGAGTTCTGGAAGTTACAAAAGTAGTCAGACTCATAACCTTTCTTTATTTAAAAAAGCTACAAATCTCATATTAAAGATCTTTTCAAATCCAATTCATTGGTTAATTTTCAATTTAAATTAGAAATATAATACGTCATGCTTTGACCACCTGGATGACCCTTACTCAAATGACCTGATGTTTTCTGAATCTTATGGTTATTTCTGATTGTAGGATACATAAGACTATTGCCACTAACCCTCCAGATATGGGTAGGGCAAAATGCACATGTCACAACTTTTACAGAGTTACATTCAAAGTTTAACTAAACTACTTTATTATCAATATATGTCAATAAACTTAGCATCAAAATGTAGTTTATAATACAAATTTTAATATTATATAAGTTTTAATTTTTTATTTTACAAAGGAAATATTTAAATCAATTCTCAGATTTCACTTTTTTTGTATCACATAACACTTTTTTTTTGCTCTGAATTGTTTATTTTATAATTTCTTTCCACTTGTTTTTTAAGTTTCTGAGAACTTACACATTTATATGTTAGGTAAAATGAAAATGTATAGCATCTACTCTTCGTGCTTTAATGAGTTATATGCCATGAATTGAAACTAACATGACACTCTCCTCCTAGCACATTCCATCTTTAAAAAATCTGAATAATTCTTTCTAACAGTTACTTTTGGATTATTTATAATCAACAAAAAGAGAAGATTTTAATTTACTGCTTTTTTTATGAGGTTAACTAGTTCTCGTGATTGATTTTGAGTTATTCTGTGTCCATTTCATAGTTTGCTATCACTGAGATTGCCTTGACCAGGTAAGGAAATTATTTTAATGCACATATAGCTTAGTTAGAAAGCCAGTTAAATTATAATAGTTTTAGGATTACAGAAAGACAGGGTTAATTTTCTTCGAGGACTACAGAAAGATAGAGTTAATTTTCTTCGAGGCTTCAAGAGCAAGAAAGTACAAGTTTCTTGTTTGTATGTATATTTTTTATTTTTGTTATAAAAGTAATTAAAATTAAAAATTAGAAAAACCTGTTAGGTTAAATAAGATAAATTAAATAAAAATAATCAATACCACAAGCACATTTTGCATTTGCAGCGTGTTGTAATTTGACCGAGCATGCTGGTAACGTGATGCTGTGTTTACACAAAGCTTCCCCACTGTGAAAATTCACTTTGGCAGAAACCCAAATGATAATGAAGTAATAAATCTAAATGACTGGGGTATTTGAAATGTATCAGCTTTGGCTGTTAGAATAAATAGTGTGTAGTTGTCTTTAACAATGTGCAGCCATTATAGAAAGAAAAAATGGTAATTTAGATGAGATTAGTCAAATGGACTGAGCATGTACACAATGTTAGGGCAGAGAAAATATCAGATAAAATATAATGTTTTATTGAAAAACAACTTTTGAAATTCATTTAGGAGGCTCTAGAGCTTGTGGAAATGAAACTTGGAAACTAAAATGAAGAATAGTATTTTTAATCTTAACCTGAAAATCACCTTGCACTCAGACTAGTTAGTCTGAGTTACAATCTGACTCCATAAATTCACAGAAAAATCTTTAGTGAAAAATACTTAGTTAAACAAAGTATTGTAAAGATACACCTTTTATATTAAAAATTATAGTTTCATGGTTACATAATGGTCAAAATGACTAAACCTGTATACAGAGAGTTAGTGCTTTTAAAAAAATTATTCCCAGTATTCCTTAAGATAATTATCCCAATGAAGAAAATCTATTATATTCTGATAGGGTTGTAGCAAAGTATGAAAGAGGAAAACTTTTTGAATCTGGTGTTTCATGAAGAATAATTTGTAGTATATATATATATATCTGCTGAGTGTCATTTTTTTGCTACTCTACATGGGAAAGGGCCACGTGGTGGAGTGGTCAACACTGTCAAGAGATTTACAATAAGTTGTCAACAATCTTATTTTCTTAGAACCAATAAGTCTGCAATTAGCTTTGAATATTTGTCAGTGCTGAGAAGTTGCTTGTAGCCAGACTGGAGACCATTGTGACAAGTGCAAAAAGTTTATGCATTTTGTTTCCTGTTCCAAGCTAGACCATTAATTTACCTTCAGTGGAATTTTCAGCAATGAATATAATAAAATTAATGATCAGTACAAGAGAATTGTGGATTTTGCAAAATCTCACAGGCCTGTATCACAAGAAATGGTAGGCAGTTTACATCAGGTGAAAATCTGATAAAACTGATAAAATGAAGGTTGGTTCCTTTACCCACCCCACACCTTCCCTTCATTCTCTTTTGAACAAAGAACTAGGAAATTCATTATCCATAGAGAACTGACTGCTGTCAATCTAAAACCTACCACAGGATGATATTATAAATTAACAGCAAAGGAAGCAGAAGAGGCTACATCACATATTATGTAGAAGATAAACTGATTTCATAGATTTATAAGCTTGACAGATTTTATATAACTTACAGCAACAATATGGGGCAATATCATCTCAGAAAATTTCAGTAACGTAGGAAGCTGAAACTGCTGATGTCATGTGTGAATTCATCCTTTACAGAACCTTTGTTACCATCAAACATTATCGTAAGTGGTTTCAAAAAGATTTGACATTTATTGAATTCACAAGTGTGATGTCTTTATCTCAGAAAAGGTTTTGTTTATTCAACTTGATTTTTTGTTTAAGTTGCTTTATATTTGAACAACTTGTATTCCAGGATTCATACGATTTGTTGAGAGGCATTGAGTCAGTGATCCTAACATGGTATATTACATTTCTAATATAAGTTGCTTGAATGTAGCTTGAAATGAGCTAAAATCAGATTTCTAGCTTTAAAAGAGAAAATGTAGTGAGTTTTCAAAGGAAGTCAGACCATGTTTGTAACTTCCAGAAGTCAGATTTTCTGTGATACAGAATCATTTTATCTGAAAGTTTGTGTTTTACACAAACTTAGCTGATGTGCTAAATTTTATAAAAACTGATGGGATTAAGAAATTGTATCTAAGCATTTTAATATATCATGGAATGTCCTCAGTTGCAGCAAAATGCTCTAATATCCTTTGAACATTACCATAGATCCTTGCCTATAAAGCTATCTGCCTTTTAAGATAACCCTCTTCTCTGGGATGGGTCACCTACAATATTTGAAGAGACCCACCTATAAGACTACCTCAAATTCAGAATCTACTTATGCATATTTAATATTTTATCACCGTATTCCTAAGGAAACAACTTTTTTGGACAGTTCAGTTTACTGTGACACGCATGTGTAAGTAATGTCTGTAGTGTCTGCCAAACATGTACCAGTAATGCCAGTAATAAAAACAATTCAAACTCGGAACTAACCATACAGTTTCATTTGATGTCAAATCAAATTACATTAGTCCTATGTGCACAGGTGTGGGTCAAAGTGCATGTGTTGTGACCCTTTATAGAGAGCCACTTAACATAGTATTATGTATTTAATGTCAGAGTTATCAACTATTCATTTTTACCCTACATTACTGATTAAGTGACAATTCATGGTAGAGTAAATATCAGGTACAATATACAGGAATATTTAAAACACTGTAGGTATGAATTTCAGAGGCTCTAAATGTTATGCAAGTGTAATATACAAACTGTATGATGGACTAAAGTTCTTTTGTTCTTCACATGAACATCACCTTGTACTCTGACATGTGAGAGTCTTGAGTCAGAATGACAGCATCAATTCACGTACATATTCTAAGTACAAATACTTTTGTAACACATCTGATTTTTTTGTGCATAACAAACTTGTACATTTTAATAAAACTCTGCTACATTTCTTGAAGATACACACAGTAAGTTCAGAATTATAGTCAACATTCCTTCTTCAATAGGGGGTCAGTCCAGTGGTTAAAACGTTGATAAAATACAGTTTCAAAAGTTATTTCAGTTATAACATACAATAGTTCATACATGTACTTTACTTCTACACATCTTTTATGACCTACCTTTTTTCAAGTTTGCTCAGAATTTTTCATCAAATGATTGTCCTGTCTTATAAGATCTCCCCCCCAACTGCATAATGTAAAGTTTATCAAAAAACAAAACATATCATAGACAAGGATCAAAAGTGAGATTTTTGAATAATATACCATTGAGTTTTCATTTTACACAACAATAACCTATCTTTTTTTAGACTGTTTCGTTCTAAGTTACCTTTTTTTATTTTTCACAGTTTTAGTTACAAAGTCTTTGTATTATGGTAGTACTGTATTGGCCATTCACAGCATGGCCTGGCATGGTCAGGTGGTTAGGGCACTCAACTTGCAATCTGACGGTATGGGTTCAAATCTCCATCCCACCAAACATGCTCAACCTTTCAGCCGGGGTGTGTGTGTTATAATGTGACAGTCAATCCCACTATTTGTTGGTAAAAGAGTAGCCCAAGGGTTGGCGGTGGGTGATGATGACTAGCTGCCTTACATCTAGCTTTTCACTGCTAAATTAGGGATGGCTAGCGTAGGTAGCCCTCATGTAGCTTTACGTGAAATTCAAAACAAATGAACAAACCATGCACAGCATTTAGTTCAGTTGAATCAAGAATATTGCTGATAAAAGTAGGTGTGAAAAACAACAACATATCATCATTAAAATATATGTCAGTATACCAAACCCACATTTAAAGGTTTCTAGTATTTGGTGTGCAGTTATGTCAGGAATGATTGTTTTAATTACAGTTATAAAACAGAAAGATGCCATTAATTCTTTGCTAATGGTGGTTCACCTTCTTGGAACCTTTTATAGCCTTTATTTTTTGCTGGACTCAGACTTATCACTGATGCCACAGATATATTTGTTAAGTCCTATTGGTGAAGTATATTTTTCTTATTTGCACTGTCTAAATTTTCTGGTAAGGTTATTTCTTATTAATCTGTATAATTTACTTTCTTCTCAGTTTTATTTAAGTTAATATAACTTAATCCATATATAGTGTCAACTCTCAACCTTGACCAGTCCACTTATACAGTGCAAGAGCCAAGTAAACCAGATCAGATTGCTAAGGTTATGTTGAAAATTGTACGAAAAGGAGATAACAATCAGACTTGTAGAGTCCGGGTTAGTACTCGAGATGGATCTGCCACCTCAGGAGTTGATTATCATGCAAAAAGTAAACTTTTGATATTTCCTCCAGGTAAGTTATTTTTTGACTTTTTTTTTTCTAAAGAATGATTTATTGCAATTGTGTGAATGATGATTCCTTCAATACAAAATTTATCTCAAAACTATGCTTTTGTACAGATAGCCTAGAAAACAGAGCACAACAACATAATAAAGTAATTTTATCATATCACCCAATAGTTGATGTAATAGCAGCATTTTAAATATTCTTTATAATGTAGTAATTAATTACATATAAGTGTTTTAGAGGCTTTGTAACTAATTTAAATTTACTAGAAAGTACATTGGATGTCCTTTTCATCAGAGATTATTTATGATGTCCATTTTGTTATAGATCATTACCAATGTCTTTTTTATCAAAGATTACTTGTGATGACCCTTTTACCAGAGATTAGTTTGATATTCTTTGTGCCAGATGAATGAGTTCTTCACTCACCATCAAACATTGTTTAGGGTGTGGACAAGGTACCCCCATTCTTACCTGCCCTGGGCCACTTATTGCGTTTTCTCTATGCTATTAAGCCCTGTAAGTTTTTCCACTGTGAGTGTTGTTAAACAGAAGGATTCTTGTGTTAAACCCTTTTATGTACACCTTCAACTACTCAGTGACTTGTCTATCATGGCAGACTTTCTGATTTTATTCCTGACAAATACTCCAGAAATTTTCATTTTTTATACTAGTTGACTTTGGAGATAAGGAGTTGTTGAACTCTCCGAAGAATCTCAGCATTTTTATAAATTCATTACTTTCAATACCTGTAATATTTTTAAGGCACACACATACAAGACATTTAGATGTTTGTCTGTTTTTTTGTGAATTTCCAGATTTTGCATTCATATATTAAGATAGAAATAACACTTGAGTTGAAGATTTGTAGTTTGGTCTTAAAGTTGTACATTTTCAATGACTGAATCTTGTTTAAGTTGGTGAATGCAGTTTGAGTCCTGCCAGTTTGTGACATCATTTCCTTCTAGATGTCCTCACTGGCTTGTACATTATTGTCAAGTTATTTCAATCCAATTTTGTTTTTCTTTTGGCTTGTAAAATAATACTTGAATTGGATGTTGATGGGGCAATTGCTTGATTTGTTTTTCATAACTGGTTATTAGCCACAGGATTTTTGCACTATTGGAGAGTCTTTTGTTCTCATCTTACATGTTGACTGAGTTGTCACATAGAAGTCATCTCATTACTAGACATAGTATATAAAGTATTCACAAGTTTACTGGACATGTTTTGTTTAATATACTTATAATTACCTAGACACACTGTATCTAATGTATTAATAACTTTACTGAAGACACCATATCTGATGTATTAATAATCTTATTGGGTGCATTGTATTTAATGTATAGAAAATGTTACTGGACACATTAAATCTAATGTGTTGACAATTGTACTAGATATTTTGTATCCAGTATGTATTAACAATTTTACTGGATTGTATGTAAGGTATTAAAAATTTAAATAGAATTTTTGTATCCAATGTATTCATAAATTTTCTATTAACATTTGTTTCTAATGTATTCTTTTTTTTTTTTACTTAACACATTTTCTCAAATGCATACATTACTTTATTTGACATTGAGTTACTAAGGTTATATTATTTCTGTTTGTTACACAATGTTTATTTACAATCATAATTCTGAGGCACTAATCATTTTAATATTGTTTATCAAAAGATTCTTTTTGTACATATTAATTTTTTATTATAACTTTAACAGGAGCATATGAGCAGATTTTTGAAGTGGAGATTCTTTATAACAAAGAACGTGAATGGCACAAAATGTTCACAGTTGTACTGGGGCCAGATGAACCTGTTAACGCTGAGATAGGAGAAATCTCTGTTGCAACTGTTACAATATCAGACCATGAAGCAGCAGGAAGTGGTGTACTACCTGCTTCTCCTATTGTAAGTATTTGTGATAATCCTTCCATTTATTAATTGAGTACTAAATTTGTTTGATTCACCAAAGGATAGATAGTTTACTAAACTCAGTGCTTGATCTTGGTCATTTTTATTTACCAAAGGATAGCTAAGGTTTACTAAGTGCTTGAATTTGGTAACTTGTTTGATTCATTGAAGGATAGATAAGGTTTCCTAAACTAAGAGCTTGATTTTAGTCACTTGTTTGAATCACTGAAGGATAGATAAGGATTACTAAACTCAATGCTTGATTTTGATCACTTGTTTGGATACTTAAAAAATTACAAAGCATGACTTAATTTTCCTTTGTCTTAGAAATGTTTAACAGAAAAAAATACATTAATAATATTATAAACCATATATTATACAAATTAATGCATGTAATACAAATAAGATTTTAATTATTTCTGTCACTGTTGTTTATGCCTTCATTAATATTATTTTAGAATGGACATTTCAGTAAAAATATATCGTATAAAAAAAATCACACAAACTTTTATTTCAAACCCCATCTTTGTTTGACAACTGTTGATGTAAAGTTTACAAGCATTGTTATCCCGATAATTTTACTTAGCTTTTCTCTTCACCAACAAATAACTAAATTGTGACATATAAATCTAAAGTGAGTTGAGAGAAGTATTCAACATCAATTTTCATTCAAGATTACTATAATCAGAATATTCAGTGGCATGAGATGCATGTGTATTAATCAATTAAAAATTTGCATATGTCTTTTGTTAAGATAAGCCTTGACCTGAGTCGTTTAATCAACATGTTCTCATTGTTACATAGACTGCATTTTTAAAGTAATGGTGATACAAATCTCCAATATACTTGAACTAGTTCCCATGCTCACATGTATATGTTCTTTCATGGGAACCAGAAATCATTTTGTATTAGAACTGATAAAATACAATAAACAACAGAACTTTAATTTTATACACACAAGATGTTTTAATGGCTTAAGCTTGATAAAATGTAACGAATATTCATATTTTACATCTTCATTAAATATTACTGTAAATGCTATTGGTAATCTCATACAATTTTTCACATATAGAAACAATACTACATGTAACAAAGTTTCAAATATTTCAGCTTATTTAATTAAACAATTCTTGCTTTAAGAGTCATTTATGATCTTTTCTACAATGGAATAGGAAAATCATTTCTTTCCTAACAATAAGTTGATATCCTCATATTCCTTTTATACAAAATCAACTGCAGCTTATTCTAACCATATGTGAAATTATTGTTAAAATTTGCAAGTTCTCAGTCCTAAAATTGTTGTGATTAAATGTATCCTCAAAGTAATGTATTTTTGTAAATACACTCCACAAAACAATGAAAGGAGAGCCACTCTATATGATATTATACTTATGACAAGGAAAAAGTACTATTATAAATTATTATCTGTCACTGCCTTTAGTTCATTGTTATGCAACTCAAGTATCTAATGATCAGACATGTGATCTAAAATGCAAATGAATAATAATTCAGCTTATGATATATAAAATGGTCTCGCACAATCTTGATTCAGATGTCACTTTAAAGTAAATTTCAATGTTTAAAATGCTTTGTATTGGTCAATTAAAAATGGCATTTGGATTTTTTGCTCATATGGAGAGCCACTAAATATTATTAATTGACTAAATGTCTGAACATGTTAGCAGAATGTGAAATCATTAATAGACCAATGAAACAGTTGCATAGACATCTGGACAAGGCAGGTCATCATCCACAAGACAAGCAGATGAATCTATCTGTTGGTTTTGACTTGTGACGTTTGTAGGGTACCTGCTATGAAATTGAATCAAGTAGTTGCAGCCATAACTGACTAGAAACAGACTTTATAAAGCCAGCTTGTATGCCAGGTGCCTAGTGAGATGCATTGCATTCTTAATGAGGTACATAACAGCTTGCCTGGAATGCCTTTGGAACAGTGACTTATGGAACAATTTTCTTTCTCAAGGGGAGTTGTGCTTCATACTACGGCCAGATAAGAGTTGTATATTCATTTGGATAAGATCAGGAACTAAACCTCATTTTCAGATTATAATGATGGAAATATAGTGTGGGCAGGAATAAACATTCATAAACACGTACATCCTGTAAAATTGTATTGCCATGAACCTTAGGAACCTTTGATCCTATGGATTGTCACATGCTGATACCCCAACTAAATCAAATCGATGTTGATTCTCCCCCAATCTTACTTACTAAACTGATTAACAAATTTTTTTGAAGAAGAGGGAATTGTTCAGCCGACATGCAAATGAGACTTCAATCCCTTCAAAAATGTATAGGATGACTTTGGAATATGCACAGCATTCTGCTAGTTAATTTTCAAATAGTAAAGATTTCTTGGAAATATCTTTATCAGAGGATACATGTGCCTCAAGATAATTGCCATGTTATAGCTACATGTGCAGTGTATGTACATATATATATATATATAGTTTAAATGATGTAAATGATTTTATTGTTCCTTTACATTTAAATTGCTAATAGTTTTATCAAAATGTTGACTTTTGATGTATGTATAAATGCAGTTCATGTTAAGTTATTGACATCACCAAGGAGAAAGGGGTTAAAATCTAATGGTATAAATCTGTCTTTACAGGTTTGATCATGTTTTGAGCAAGTATGGCCTCACAGCTTTATTTGTTAAGAGACTATGGCATTTTATTATTACTGTTAAGATCTAGAATAACAATTTTGTACAGATCATCTAGTTCCATCATTAGCATCTCCATTACTATTCTATTGCTATCATACCATAATTACCAGTTTCATGAACATTAACAAGTAATTAGATGTCACATTTATCACCTGAAATAACTTGTATAATAACATTTGTCATGTATGGTATTTTTTTTTTTTTGCTTTATGCTAATAAGAAAACTTTGCTATTTTACTCTATAAAATGGTTGGACTAACTGTGAGGTTACTATGCTTTGTGTTGTCTTTTGAGTAAATAACTATTTTACTGTATAATTCTAATGTAGTATGATGATTTATGTAAACTGGGGTTGTGGTCATGTGTCATACAGTATCTTGTTACGCAGCCAGGGGAAGTTCTGTGTACTTGAATTCTGCAGTGTGTGATATTTAGCTATTTGGAATTTCCAATCTGAGCTATGAACATTTTATTGTGTTTGTGTTAGTCAGTACATGAAGTTTTATGTAATGTGATAACTGCACATTAAATGTTTTACCTCTGGAGAACCTATGGGTGTTTTGTTGTCTATCCATCTGTGAACTTTCTGAAATTGGTGTTAATAACCAGTGCTATATATTAACCTGATGTGTCACACTATGTATGAAAAAGTATTAAATATGTTAAAGTCCTAAAAAGTTGTTTGCTTCTATTCAACAATCAGCCTGTATTTTAAGAGGAGGATTATTAAAATTTGTTAAAACATTTTAGAATTTCTGTTCATTTAGTGCAGGGTATTTTTCATTACTGATTATATTTCTTAGGTTCTTTGAAAAGGTGGCTGTTATTAATAAAGTTTCCTGAAATGCGATTAATTCATCATAAATGTGTACCTGAACCTGTTTAATTCAATGTGTTCTTGTAATAATAGAATTGCATGGGTGATAATACTACAAAATCTAGAAGGAAACAAACAAGGCGAAGAACTTGCCAAATTAAAATAAATTTATTGATAAATACCAAAACAACATTTTGAGCAAGGACCTTCATCAGGTTTTCAGTGAGGAGAATATTTTTGTATTCATCAATAAACTTATTATAATTTGGCAAATGTTTCATCTTGTTTATTTTCTCCCTGTTTAATTTAATGTAAGAAAGAAAGTTAATTGCTTATTTCTTTGTATCTTGTTTAATTTTTTTATATTAAAATTTCTTTTAGTTATTTAACCAATTGTAAATGTGTTTCTTCTAAGTTTCATTTAAGTTTTATTAGTTAATTTTTTTTGTCATTTATCATTTAGGTTGTTTCATTGCTTCACTATGATAATGTTGAAGAAGGAACCAAGACTGATCCTTCTCCAGGCTATCCTCTTATTTGTGTTACAGTAAGTGTATTGTCATATCTTGAACTGAGTTTATGGTGACTTGGTGTAGGAAACCAATACTCATCATTTTTCTGGTTCTGTTGTTATTTATAAAAACAATTATTAATTTGTCATGCCACAAATGACATTGAATTTTGAAAAGCGTAAATTATAACTGTCAATTTTAGAAATAACAAATTCATTATGTGAATCATGAAAGTCATTGTGGAAAACAGTCTCTACGATCTTATAAGTATTATTGGCTGAAACATATTTTAGCATTTGAGGCTACCTCAGAAAAATGAAATATTTTATTTATCTTAATTTTGTTTTTCTTTTACATTATTTCCAGCCTTTTGTCCTTTTGTATATAGCCTTTTAAAAGTTTCATTCTGTTATACATCATTTCAAACCTTGTGACATTTTCTTTAAAGTATATAACAAAGTTTGTTGGTTTTACTTTTACTTGTGATATTATGAAATTAACTCATTTTCTTTTACTTATTCCTAGCCTTGTGACCCTCACTATCCTGGTTATGCTCTAACTGGACCAATGTGTAAAGATGCAGGAATCAATCATTCTGCTATTCATTTCAATTGGGAAGTGGCTTTACCCACAGACATTGATGGCTCTCGACCACCTTTTGAGACAGTTAGGGATTCTACTCTTTTCACCTCAGCTCATCACATGGTATTAAAGACAAAAGTTTTGGTTGACCAACTTTTTTTATGTAATTTTTTAAACTCATCATGGTTTTTAATGATCTTCTAATTACCTTAACTCATTCTGGTATTTAATTTGTTTTTTAATTACTTGAACTCATTTTGGTTTTTAATTTACTTGGTAGTTAAAAAGTAAGTATTTGGAACATCCTGCAGGAAAACTGTGAAACATACACAAATATATTTTGCTTATTTCCATAACTGGTCTCTAGAAATGTATTTGGATGCATCACGTGTGGTTATATGCAAATACTAATAACCACTGATTAGAGTAAGCTGTGTGCTTAGAGTGAAACTCAAAATCAACCTTGCCATCAATATAGCTAATTATTTTTTTCCATTTCTTATGTTTCTATATGTAAAGATTAGAAAGGATTGTTTCATTGTTAATGATATTTTTGGCCATAATCTTAACAATATGTCATGAGGTTTGGCCAGCTTGGGAGCTTTAGATTAGTTCTGAATACATATTTTAAGCTAAAAACATAAAAAACTTTATAATAAAAGTGTAATAATAAACATTAAGTCAAAATAAACTAGTATATATCTTAGTATAACCAATACTGTTAATGAAAGTAACAATAAGTAAATATGGATTGGATGGACAATTATTATTTTTCTGCTAGCAATGGAAGACACAATACAATATTAAGTTTAAATAAGGGTTTATATTGGTGAAGCTACACCATAACTCTGAGCTTATTACTACATGACCAGTAGAAGATATAGGCCACGTATAGTTGTGTCCATTGCCAGATGATTCAAAAGTGTATAACAACATCACAAGTCATTGAACTTTAATATAATGGCCAATATGTCACATGGTGCCCCACTCCGTATCCACCAGTTAGTAAAGAGAGTGCTTGTGCAGCTCTTTGATGAGGACTAGGTTCTTAGCTACCACTTCCATCTTGGCCACCACACTTCTTTCACCTCACTACATCTGAATGAAAGATGCCATCGCAACAGAGATTCATGTATAACTAATCCCATTATGAGTAGAGTTGCAGTGACCTAAAATTATGACAGAAACATTGAACATTTTCTATGAAGGTTTCCTTAATGTTATTTCTAGATAACAGTGGAATGCACTTTCCATGGTTCCTTTTGCTTATATGCAAAATATTTCACTCGTGCGTTAAAAAATTCACACTGAAGACTGTTCGAAGTACCTATACTGGTGTTCTAATCACCTAGTATTTTCTAATCATCTGAATTAAATTGTTATTTTTGTCTAACCACTTGAATTGAGTTTCAATATTTTTATTGTTTGAACTAATTGTGATTTTGGTTTGCTTTAAGATCTTCTAAGTTCATTGAGAGTTTTTATTTTTTTCAAACCTTTTGAATTCATTGTGGGTTTAATTTTTTTTCTGAATTTATAAGAATTTTAATTTATTTTGGATAACCTAAACAAATTGTAGGTTTAAATTTGTATTATAATCACCTGAAATTACTTGAAGTTTCTCAATGTGTTATGGATTTTAGTTTTGTTTTTTATCACTTAAATTCATTGTGGAGTTTAATTTGTTTTTAGTAACCAGAAGTGATAGTTGATTTTAATTTGATTCTTATTACTTGAAATCATTGTGTTTATTTATTTGTTACAAATATTTTAAATGTGTTGTGGGTTTTACTTTTTACTCTGATCACCTAAAATTATTCTGTTTTTATATATGTTTCAATGTTCTGTTAGTAGCTGATAAGAAACAAATTGTATACTAATTTTCTTCAAAGGTGCTTGACAGCATTTATTTTAGTCGCCGTTTCCTGGTTCGATGCTCAGCTCAACCGAAGGATGCTAATGGCCACTTGGGAGTACCCCTACGAAGTAACATTGCTCAGATTGGTATAGATAATGGTGAGTAATTACTTTGAAGAATAATGTAATGACTTTTATAGGACAAAAAATATAAATGAAAGAAACAGTAAATCATACACACACTGTATAAGTTATCATTTTGCTATTGAATGACACATAAATTGGAATATTTTCTTATTTAATACAGTCAAATTAAGTTTTAAAAACATATACTTTTTTTAATAGTGGATAAAACATTATACTTTTTATTCTACATATTTACAGTGAAACAAACACTGTAATAGTCCCTCTTACAACAGTTCAAATTTCATTGTAAAATTCAAATTTCTTATAACATTGAATCTAATATTATAGTAGTTCACCTCCGTATAAAGTTAAATTTAAGGTTACAATATACTTTATTTTAATACTGCATAACAGGTGTTAAGAAACTATCTTCATATAATGGTTTTCTCATTTGAGGTATCAAAAAGTATGATTGCTTTTTTGATAATGATTAATCAGCAATATAAAAATATGAAATTATGTGTCTTTTAGTATTAATTAAATACTGATATTTTCAAATATTTTTAGCAGTCTACATTGTGAAACTTTTCTGTAATATTACTTCGATAGCAGTATTTATTGCTACCATCTTATAAAGACTATGTTTCAGAATTTTCTGTAATAAAATTTTGCAAATTGATCTTGAGAAATATAATAAAAGACAATATCAAAAATGTTTTAATCTGTGTGATAGTTAATGCAGTGAAATATAAAAAAAATTATATGAACATGAAGAGAGGGTAAATTTAAAAGTATTTCATTACATTCGTTTTAGGTATCTGTCACACACCAATAGCTGCAGGCCAGCCCTACCTAGGACTCCAGTCCCAGTCATTTGTAGCTACACTGCGTTATGTTAATTCATCACACAAATACCATCCCAATCGCCTTCACATTCATGTGGAAATTCCTCATCAGGTTTGTCAATTTCAAAAAGGAATTTAATATGTTCAATAAAAGTATGAATAACCATTTCCAGTCTAAAACAATTAAAAATTTTCTTACACTCCTAGCAAAACTTAGAGGTAATGTTGAGATACTATGCTTTTCATTTCATGGGGCACCATTGGAGGATATTTATGACAATATTAGTGAAGGTTGAAGCAATCTGAAACTAAACTATCTGCTCAAGATGTCTATATGTGGGCCCAGTGTGATCTCAAAATCTTTTGAATCATTGACACAGGATATTGAAGAGGAAGTGCATACAAGCTATTGAATGTTGGCAGCTGTGGCCTACATGTAATATGTAATCTATCCAAAAGGTGGCTGTGTTGTGTGTAGGTGGAATGTTGAACAGTGCTTGTCTACTGAATTAGCTATTTAAGGACTATCACAGTCAGAGCAAGGATTTTAGAAATTTCACATAGTCAACAACCTTTTTTTTGAAAAATTTTTGGAAGATACTGATGTGATGAATCATCCTGATGCTGTTGACTCATATGTTCATATAAAATTTGAAAATATAACTCATCCAAAAACAAATATTATGAATTGGTTGTTGCCAACTCAAAAAACTTTATTCCTAGAAAACATTAACATTTTTATGTTAATCCTCTTGCTATGGATAGGTCAAAGTATGCATATCGTGAGCTTTTAGAGAGTAACATTCAAAATTTAATTAAACTACTTTATTATAATGTATTTGAATAAACTTGGCTTCAAAATGTAGTTAATAAATCAAATTTTAATATTATATAAATTTAAGGTTTTTAATTTTATAAAAAAATATTTAAATTCTCAATCTCCCCTAGTATGAGAATTGTGACATGTGTTCTCTTGGTCTGCTCCCTTCTCTAATTTATTTACCACCCCTCTCTGAAGTCCAGAATTTATTGTAAATTACTGATTATAATATAGGCATTATTAAGGCAAAGTCTAATTTTTATAACCTTCAATCTTATTTGTTTATGAAGTCAATAACTACAAAAATCAGACCTACTTACCACATCTTATCTTTCACAAATTGCCAATAGGTTTCTCTGATGTTTTATATTATATTATTTATAACCAATATAAAGGTAAAGTTTTAATCTATAAAATGGCATATTATATTACATTGTTTTCAGTACAGAGTATTGTCTATTTTGTCCTTGGTTTGAAAGTTTCTCTTGAGGTGTTGAGATCGTGAAGTTTTGGGAATTAATTTAAGGCTCTTATGCCATAGTTAGAAAGCCAGTTAAATTATGACAGTTATAAGACATTGTATGTTTTGTACTTGTTATTATTTTGTTTTCTTAGGTGCATTACTTAAGTGAATAAGAATTATTTAGTTTACCAGTGCTATTAGTTTAAAAAAACGTAGGTTTAAATTTTATCAGCAACCAACAGCAAAAAAACAAGAGGTCAAAAGTAAGTGCTATATTTTTTACTTTTCATGGATATTCTTTGTTTATTATTATAAAAGTAACTAAAATGTAAGAATTAGAAACTTCTTAGGTTACTTAAGGTTAGATTAGATAAGATAACGAAAGAAAAAACTTGTACATTAGGTATGCTTGCAAGCAGTTCATGTATTATGTCATTCAATACGCATTTGTTGAGTGATTTACAACTTGTTTGGTGGGATTACTAGTTAAGTACAGTTAAAAAGGCAATAAAAAAAATTAAATTACTACGTACAGATGTAGATTATTATGAACTTTAAGCCATGGCCCGGCATGGCCAGGTGGTTAGGGCGCTCGACTTGCAATCTGTGGGTCGCGGGTTCAAATCCCCGTCACATCAAACATGCTCGCCCTTTCAGCCGTGGAGGCATTATAATGTGACGGTCAATCCCACTATTCGTTGGTAAAAGAGTAGCCCAAGAGTTGGCGGTGGGTGGTGATGACTAGCTGCCTTCCCTCTAGCCTTACACTGCTAAATTAGGGACGGCTAGTGCAGATAGCCCTCGTGTAGCTTTGCGCGAAATTCAAAAACAAACAAACAAACAAACAA